AAAGCGAAAACTATTTCGTATTCAAGTTTTTTAACATTTTCAAGCAAAGTTTGCTGTACAATTTGCAGGTATATAATTTTGTCTATAAATACAAAATTCTAGACGTTCGCTTTTAAATTTTCCTTTTTCTGCTTGTTATTTGGTTTGTGCCAGATATAAGACAAACCGTCGGAGAATAAAATATTACATTTTGTACTTAAAAAGCAATCTAACGAGAGCTAAATGGCAGGAGCGAGATGGAACATTTCTCGAGATTACACATTGATGTCAAGTTCATCCATGTATGACCCTACAAATGTTTTTCAAACATTACACAATAGCGAATTCCATTGACACTTGATTGGTCACTTTTTATTATTGTAATAGAGTAGCCTACTGACACAGCCATTAATTCAAACATGAGCTTCATTGCTGAAGTTTTTTTTTGAAATTTAGCAGAACCCGATCTTAGAAGTTTAAGCGCTTCAAATGATGAAGAGGGTTTAGTTAGATAAGTGACACTTATTTCATGTTTTATGTCATAACCGTTGAGCGGTTTTTAAGGTGCTTTAAGGCTTTTAGCTACTATACGTAATTTAAATTTTACTCTAGGTTGTTTATTCAATTTTTAATCGTGTTGTCTGACAGAACAGGTTGGTTTCATCGTTTGTTGAAATGTCGTGGAAAGGCACGTGGCGTTTATGCTAAATTCCGGTCATTTTGATAATGCGCTCTAACTGCGTATCCTCGTTGTTCGCCCGTTCAACGATCTATTGTAAACTAAGTGGCATGACATTTCGGTCATGATAGGCCAGCGATTCACTCCCCCACTAGTTAAAATGAGCTGCCAATACCACGTAAATGACGGATTTTGTGTTTACACCTTTACAATGCCACATATTTGTCAACAATAAATGAAAACTTAGAAGATGTGAGTGAAATTTTAAGTTTTTACCTCAAAGGATAGTTATCACCAACTAGACACATTCACCAATCATATGTACGTTGTGCTATACTCGAAAAAAGTCCATTTAATATATCCATGTACAATTTTCATATAAGGTTTTATTCATACTGTTCTACTGTATCCTGGTTGGTGATTATAGCGCAGAGGAAAAAAGAATATTTTAGTTTGGCATTTAGTAAGCTTCAACATATAGTGGCTCATTATCGACTTTGTTAGCCATTTCTGAATATTATACACAAACCTTTACAAACATGACTATATTTAAGTTTAAGTTGATCCAGGTTATCGTTAATAAATATGCTAATAAGGACATTTTACATTTCTGTTTAGGACTGTTTAGAAATGTAAGAAGTAGTGTGATTAAACTGAGACTACTTGTAAATGAGTTTCTATATCGATCACTGGATACTTTTTTTAAAATCCTATGCAAATTTACTATAGAGGTTAATTATTGGGTATAGCAGGGTTATAGTTAAAAGAGAAAAGTTTTTCTTGGATAACGTTGAACTGCTTAATCTTTAATAGAAGACTTAAAAAAGAGTGGGTGTGATCATATTGGTTAAAACTTTCATACCGGGAAATTAATAATATAAAGAAAATAAGTGTAGAGCCAATGCCCAATTAACTTGGGGAAGAAATTATAGTTATATAAGTGTATAGAGCAATTTCTGAAGTGGTGAATATCTCTTTTGTACAATTTGAGCACGCTCTACGAGCGACGCCTACATTTTAGTTATGTAGAACACGATCACTGGTTGCAACAAGTTGGCTTGACTTTGCATCACTATATTATGTAGATAACATTCATCAATATACCTCTAAGATGCAACAAAACCATTAGTGTACAATTGATTCTGTTTGATTATTATTTTCAAATTATGCAAATACATACAGAATGTCATACAGAATAATTTCAGTTAAAAGCAGCATTTTACAGAAAGACTACAGGTAGTGAATTGGGTTTCTATTATTCACTATTTTGATATTTTATTATGTTTTCCTTAATAAATTGTATCGTATACATAAAGAATGTTTTTCGATAACTGGTGCATTCCAACAATTAAAAGAAGCGAAAAAGAATCCAAGTCGGAATATGGAAACCTGATAACATCGAAGCTGCCGAAGCCGCTGATAATATACAAAAAGAGTCATTTGGAATGTTGTAAATAATGAGAGTCAAATGCCAAAATTAGGGAAAAATTGCATGGAAATAAAATAAAAAATCATAATATCAATAAATATTTGGCAGAAGATGCCAAAAATCTCCTAGGATAGATGACCAGATTGATTCTTGAGCACTATCGACATAAAATGCTCTGAGTCGTCTTTCTGAGGGTATTGGATCATCATGAAATAATTAATATAATGAGCAATATAAACTATAAGAGAGGTATATTTCCCGATAATGGTTCATATCAGATCATATTTAAATAGGTACACACTTTACACGGTATGTAGTATGGGTATACAGGAGGAATAACCACGATTCCTATAAAAGAAATATGTTTTTGCACCATAAGTATGTCAAAAAATAAGAACAACCTCTGAGATTTGAGCCGTGGTGAGTTCATGGGGCGAAATGAGTGGTAGTAAACATGGTGTGCCAATAGGATTAATGGTCCCATTAATATGTATTTGAAGATTCTTTAATATAATGTAATGTTTCTACGTGATGAACACGTATGTACAAAATATTTTGAGCTGGATACCTCTGGATACTAACGTGAATTGAATGGAAACAATGAATGTATAGGGTGCATAATGTATAGGGTAGCAGTATATGGTATTGTCATTTGGGATTCTTTAATTCCCATCAAAAAACTTTTTCTTCTACAGAAGCTTTGCATAAGTGCTTTTAAGAATATTACAATATACAGGGTGTATCAGGTATGAGTAGAAAAAGTTTGAGGGGTTATAGGTCTTCTCTTTCTGAATAAAAAATTCTTATAACACAATGTCCCATTCTTTCCCATTCTTAAGATATGATACGATAAAGTTAAGGGTTTGAAAGTTTAAGTACTGCTGTATAAAGAATTATATTAAGCAGGCTTTGTTTATGTATAATATATAATAATATATATATATATATATAATATAGCTTTAATTTGACACATAAAAGTCATTCTTGAGATATTTTTTTAGAGGCTATTTACTTTATACCAATAAATTTATCACTTCTGTTTTATCACTCTTTAATGTGAAAATTTACAAAAATTTTGGTTTTAATAAATAAACTTGCTTATTGTATCAACAACAACAAATTACAAAACTAGAAACAAATTACAAATTGTAAAGCAAAGCCTGCTTAGTATAATTCATTAACCAGTAGTACTCAAACGTGTGAACCCTTAACTTTATCGTATCATATCTTAAGAAGGACAAAGAATGGGAAATTGTGTTATAAGAATTTTTATTCAGAAAGAAGATAACCCCTCACATTGTTTCTACTCATACCTGATACACCCTGTATAGTATATTGTGAGTATAATATATATATACTCACAATATGTTGCACTAATTATTGTGTTGTAGTTTAGAATAAATCCATAGATTTTTTAAGTAATGTTTATTTGTTTAAAGTCATTGGATTTTCTTTTTGGTTTCTGATTCTTAGACAACTACTTGCGTAGAGGTGTACTTTTAAAGATATTAAGGGTTAACATAAAGTTTAACTTTCTTCTCTTGTGGGCAGCATGGAACCTTGTCTCAGTAGTTTCCAAACTCAGACAAGATTCTTCTATTTGTTATTCAACCCCCACTGGTTGGTTATTATGAGATTTCCATCTTCGATTCTTTTAAAAAATTAAAAATCTTCTTAATTATTCATACCGTAGCGGGAAAATTGTCACCATCGTATAGGAGGTCTTCTAGAGGGTCTGTTTGCTCTTGGGAGGTTACGTTTAATTATCCTTGGTAGTCTGGAGGCTTTTATACTTTAAACCTTGCTAGCATTTTCTGATCTTGTCTTTATCGCGAATATCAAGACAAGTCTTATATGTATATGCAAATCTATTTTCTAGGGATATAGACTTGTTTTATCACATTATGTCCTTCATTCTGATATCTGATATCAAAGCTGCTTTCGTTGTTTGAGCCATAACTTTTTCTTGGAGATTCCTCCTGCTCGTAATATTGATGCCAAAGTATTTAAAACTCATCACCTGTTCTATAGACCTGTTGTATACTGTCAAAATTAGAGATATTATTTTCGGCACAGCATTCTCTGAATGTTATCTTCGTTAACAGACAATGGGACAGCATCGTTTGCATATCAAAACATTTTCATTTCTTTGTTTTCCAACTAATAACCCTTTCCAACTCTTTTCACGTCAGTTATTATTTCGTCTCCCCGTGTTATGCCTTTTTTTATGGCTACTCTGCGTGCCACTCCTTTTTCTGTTCTTATGCTTGTCCAGTTATTGGTGTTCAGTTCCACGCCAATATTTATTATATTAGGATGCAATTTTTTTGCAGGAGTCTCACAACATCGAGAAGCCTTCCTCGATCAAATTCTTTTGTAATGTCAACATAACACTTGTACGCGTCTTATTATGAATATAGCGTTGACCTATTTTTCCTGAAGCGTTGCTGCTCCTCACAGGTGCCGGAAATGGAAATTTCTTCTTCGAGAATCTTGGTAAATAGCTTCAATGTCGAGCTTAGCAGGCTACGATAGATCAAATAGGATCTTTGTTAAGAAAAATTAAATATCCCTTCCGAGATTATCTTTAGATCTATAAAAAGAAAGTAAATAATCTTAAAAAAACATTTTCATTGACCTTCATAGCTCTGACCTAATTTAACGTTAACATCATTTAATTCACCACGTTTTATCATTAAAAAGGTTTATATAAACTAATTCCAATATGAACTTCAATACATTTTGATATCTAAAGTTTATTAATTTTGCTTTAAATAAAGTTCCATGTATTAGCCTCATTTGATAAATACTTTAATTATAATAACCACATCCTGAATTTAATCGACGGCGTTTATTATAGTTAAGAAAGAAATGAATGCAATATTTTTTAAAAACATTTTTGCACGTCTTTAGAATCACCTATAATTAGAGCTGGCCTTAAAGGACTTCGCGTACTGAAAACAACACAATCAGCTTTCACTGATTTCATTCAAGATGGTTATAGAACATTACCGGACGTTAAAGATCGGATCTTTAGCACCGTTGCTTTCGCCACGTGGGAATACTCAACAGCAAACGGCGTCGATTTCGATGAAGTTTGGCACGAAGTTAGGGATTGTATTCTAGGACAATTTGCCGGACATCCTGAAACTGGAATTTTTTCACCTTCCGTACAAAACACTTTGTATTTAACAGAAAAAATGATTTTGGATAAAGTTCCACAGGTAGAAAGTTTAAAAAGTTTCTCTTACAAAAATTAATTTTTGGTGCTTTTTTTTTAGATAAGTAGAATTTATATGAGTATGCCCAACAAACATTATTTTGAAGTAGATATGTCCATATTTCCAAGTCACGTTATAGAAACGAATGATAATAAAGAAGTTTATTTTCCAGTTGATAAACCGTCAGGAATAATTTACGCCGAACTTTTAAGAAAAGACGTTTTATCAAAGTTATAAACTGTGATAAACTCATTCTTGTTAAGAATAAATCGTAATAAAACCGATTATTACTAATTTTTACTATTTATTTCTCTGATTCACTCAGAAAAACCAAAAACTCCACTCCTTTTCCTTATTTTACAAAAACACTTTCTCTTTTGCTAATATTTAAAACCGAAATAAACAATAAGTTGTGACGCGTTTATGACTAAATAAATATCGTTTCCTTTCTCCGAAACAACGTGTCAACATGTGAAGCTTAATAATAAGCAAAATTGCGGTTTATACAATGTGAATCATTCATAAATTTTATACCCTTGAAACTGATAAAGACCCCACTTTATTTAAACTTCTTTACGAACCAAAAGCAGTTCAGTTTCAAACAATTAGTGAAGATGAAAACGTTTATTTTTTTCACATGTGCGTTCATATTAGTGCAAATTTCAAAACAGCAAGATTTTGGAGATGCTTTTCAACCCGTCAATAATATTTCACTCTGTTGTAATAAAATTTATGATCAGAAACACTTTACTATAATAAGTCCTGGGTTTCCGAATGGTCAATTAACAGATGTCGATTGTGAATACAGGATCAAAAGGGCAAACGATAATATTTGTAGATTAAAATTGAAGTTTAATTTTTTCTCGAGTGGGATTTTTAAGAATGGTGACTGTTTAAATGGATATATGGAGATCGATGGTAAAAAAATATGTGGTTGTGCAACCGGGGTGAAATTAACTGTTAATTTTGATCAAAATTTGAGAGATGAAATTAAAGTTATTAAATATAGGGAAAATGATGGATTTTTGAATGGTGTTAGTGGGTTTTCTATAGAAATTACTCAGGATAGTTGCCCTGAAAAGCTACAAAATAAAAATACTTATAACAAAGAATTAAATTTAAGATCTTATTATACTTATTATTATAATTATTTTGATGATTATGAACAAGAATCGAGTTATATAGATGTTTCTCAATTTGATAATAAAAACAATAATTGCAATAAATGGCATCAAATAAATCATTTACACCACGTGTTTAAATCATGGTATCATAATTCTCCGAGATGCCCTCAAAAAATTGATTATACCAGTAGATGTATTATTTTAAATTCGATTAATGGATCTTTTCGCAGTGCTGGTTATCCTTATTGGTATGGAAATAATTTAAATCAATGTTATAGGTAAGAATTTTTAATTTATAATAATCATTTTATAAAAAAAATATTTCAGATTTATCCAACAACCCGGCTTTTGCTCAGTAAAAGTACACATGTTGGATTTCCAATTACAAAATAGTTACGATTGTTACAACGATTATCTTCTATTTAATAATAAACACAGGTCTTGTGGAAATGAATTATGCAACAAAGTTTGTAAGTTACAATTTGTATTTAACAAAATATGAAATTAATTTTAATTTTTTTATTTATAGTTTATCTACCTTTTAAGCAACAACATTACGATCTCTTTTTCATAACTGATTATTGCTTTTGTAACCGTGGTTTTGCGGGGACATATGAACAAATTAGTTGTAATAATGAAACAACAACTGAAGTAATTACTACTGAGAGTAATACTGAAATTATAACAACAACTGAATTGGAACTAATTCCTTGCGGTGGATTGATTACAGCTAAAAATTTTACTTTGGACATTTTTGAGTATCAACAAAATATGTGTAGATTTGTTGTTAGAAGATTCAGTGATGTAAGTAAAATAACTAACACAACATGTTCTTCCTAGAAATAGCACAGATACGATCATTACGATGAAAGGGAACCAATAAGGAAAAATAATTTATGGCTTTGAGCCTGTTACAGTAATAGTAATAATAAAGTTCTTGGAATGATGTTTAGAGACTGTGCAAAGAAAATTCGATGTTTTTTAAATTTTAAATTATTAGATGGTCATCTTCTCATAGCATAGCAACTGGGCAACATTTTTGCATGTGATGAAGACATATTCAGTAGTCATATGAAAGACTTTAATGTACTTTTATTTCCTTTGGTCTCAAAACATGTAACACATTAGAAATGCTTTTCTCAATGTTTTTTACGCAAACGAATACGTGGCTCTATAATAACACTCTAACCCTAACCTTACATTTTTTGAAGTTCTTACAGATCGATATTGATTATTAAAAGATATACATAGATGGTGTTAGTTCTCACATTCGGTTCCGTTACCTGACTGAGGTCTGCAACAAAAGTTGTTGTTCTTCTGACATTCTCTGATTTCTTAGGCACCTAGAATGTCCATTTGTGTAGGTGTCATATCTCATCTAATCAAAACCAAATTTCCATTTTGCTACTTACGACGTTTTTTAATCTTCATGGCACTTCTTTCTTTCTGTTTTGTTATACTTGTTAATGTTGCTTATTGCTTGTTTTCGTAATTCATTTAGTTTTTTCATATCTGATATGTCTTTATCTTCTTTAAGAGCAATAATTCCCAAAATTTTATTTGGAAAATGTTCCGGGACTAAAAACTAAACAGTTCATGAGATGTTTCTAGAGTACTTCTGTTCTTCATGCTGTTGAAGGCTGTTTAAGGTTTATGTCGCATCTTTATTGTTGTCATTATTGTGGGGTTAAATCTTTCCACATGTCTGTTAGCTGTAGAGGTTGTGATTGCATTCCCGATTCTGAATCTTTCTAGCGTTTTTGTCCCGCTCAGAATTTCTAGCTCATAGCTATGATAAACAAACTTAGCCAATTTCCTTCTTCCTAATTTTGGCGCTATATACCGGTTCATCTTCAATTTCATCATCACTAGTTTTAGAAGCGCTGTTTACTGCATTGATTTCCTCACCTCATCATCTGAATCATTTATTTATAGCCTCGAAAAACTTTTCATATGTGAGAGTTCCTTTCATGTTCTATCTTTTCTTGATGGACGTCACACATTTGTTGAACCATTCTGGAATGATGGCAGTGGTCACTCAGATCTTTTTATCAGTGAACAAGTAGTTTACCCTTAGGTATCCATACCCTTCTTTTCGGTTTTAACATACGATCCGAACAATTGGAACAAAAACTAATTCGAAATGGAATGAAAAACATGTCTTTTAATAAAATCTATCATCTAACCTGTACTTGATTAAAATATAATCGCTGTATTTGGTTGACTGAGAGATGAACTGATTAGCTTTTGTTCTTCAATCAGTAGAGTAATTATTTTTTTGTTCTGAAGATGCTGAGAAATAAATACTTTTATTTTAGTTGTGTAGCTGGGAATATCAACTTAATATCAACGAAGTAGAAACCGAACCTAACACACCTAAAATTATAATTAACGACGATGTATTTGTAAAAAAGGACGACGTAAAACTAGCCCTGAAAAAACTAAAAAACAGGAAAAATGCGGGATGTGACGAAATTACCAATGACCTGCTGAAATACGGAGAAGAAAGTCTGGCATAACAATACTCCTAATCAGAAAAGGTGATAAAGAAGTGCCGGCTAACTACAGAGGGATCAATCTTCTTTCTACCTCGTTAAAACTAATCACAAAAATCCAACAGGAAATGAAGTTCAAGTGTCTCGGAATAGAAATACAGGGTGTCCCGCAACGATTGTACAAAACTGCATCAGCGTATTCTATGATCAAAAATAAACAAAAAAAGCCTAATAAACATAGGTCCGAAAATGGACCATTTTCGAGATATTCAAAGATTTAGTTTCATAAGTTGATATTGTTAACATCATGAATTTAAATTTGTTTTTATAATAATTAAGTCGTTACTATGATTACGATAAGTTGTCTAATCAAAAAAAAATAATAATACTTCACGAAATTATTATTTTACTATTTAATTTAATAAAACTATTAAGTATGGCTCCTATTAATTACTCCAAGGAAGAGATGGCGGATATGGTGTATTGTTACGGACTAGCTGATGGAAATGCGTCGTTAGCAGCTCGTCATTACGCGCAAAGGTTCCCGAACAGACGATTGCCTAATAGTCACACCTTTAGCAGACTATTTCTCAGATTAAAAGAAACGGGAAGCGTAACCCACAGCCATTCCACGGAGAGACATTACACAAGGCCGGTGGAATTAGAAGAAGCAGTTTTGAGAAGAGTCGATGAAAATGCCTCAACCAGCATTAGAAGAATTTCTGCACAAGAAAACATTAACAAAACAACCGTTCACCGCATTTTAAGGGAGCAGTTGCTTTATCCTTATCATTACAACACCGTTCAAGCTCTAACAGAAAATGATGGCGAAAAAAGAGAGATTTTTTGTAGGTGGGCCATACAGGAAGAGGTAGTAAACGTCGACTTTCCCATAAACATTGTATTTACGGATGAAGCAACATTTACTCAAAGCGGAATTTTTAATATTCATAATGCGCACGTTTGGAGCGATGAAAATCCCCATGCAATACTAGAAACTCATCATCAGTGGCGATTCAGTGTTAATGTATGGGCTGGAGTTATAGGTGATCAGTTATTAGGTCCATTTTTTCTTCCAAAGAGATTGACAGCCGATGCCTACATACATTTTTTACAAAATGACCTTACAGAGGCATTTGATGAATTACCTCAACAAATTCTAGAAGATTGCTACTTTATGCACGATTATGCACGCGCTACTCGAGCATACTTAAATAACAGATTTGGCAATAAGTGGATTGGCCGAGGAGGGCCACCTCGTTCACCAGATTTAAATCCGTTAGATTTTTGGTTTTGGGGACATTTAAAACAAATTGTTTATTCTGAAGACGTTCAAAATGTGCAGGATTTGAAGAATAAAATTAGTAACGCATTTGACACAGTAAAACAAATTCCTGGTATCTTTGAACGCATTAGAAGTTCATTTAGAAAACGTATCCGTTTGTGTTTAGAAGTAAATGGTGCGCATATTGAACATTTATTATGACATGAATCTTTTCCAATTTGTTAAATATTCGTTGTTTTTATGCTGGTTGAACGATTTTCTTCGACAATCTTTGTTACTTGTTTTGTTAAATTATTAATGAACTGTATTAATTAACTTAATATTATCTTATTATTTATTAAACTTTATCTTAACCATCGTAACCATGGTAATCATATAATTACTGCATCTAAATCGTTAGAATTAATGATGTTTACAATAGGTCAACTTACGAAACTAAAACTTTGAATATCTCGAAATTGGGCCATTTTCGGACCTATGTTTATTAGACTTTTCTTGTCCGTTTTCGATCAGGGAATACGCTGATGCAGTATTGTACAATCGTTGCGGGACACCCTGTATATGGATACGGAGATGTTAAAACGAAGGTAAGGGAACAAGCCATAAAAGCAGCAAGAACGGCCGCATGTTTTAACAGTACCATATGGAGTAATATACATATGGAATCAAAGTTAAATGCAAAATCTATAAAACAGTAATCAAACCCATACTAACATATACCACAGAAACCAGGCCAGGAACCTTAAAAACAAAACAAATACTGGAGACGACCGAGATGGAAGTGGTGAGCAAAATAGATAGCAGGACACTTATGGAGTGAGGAAATCAGAAGAATGTATAAAATCGATAACATCACCGAGTGGGAATTGCAAAGAAAAAGGGAATGGAATGAACACATCAACCGCATGACCGACGACAGAATAGTAAAGATTACGAGGCCAAATCACCAGTAGGACGTAGAGGCATCGGAAAACCCAGTAAAAGATGGAGTGATAACCTCGCAATAGACTGAAATCATGCAAAAAGGAGAAGAAAAACAAGCAAATTGTTTACATATAAGCAGGAGGAAGAAGAAGTTTTTACATATCTCCGTCACCGGCCTTTCTGGAAGACTAAACTTCTTTTATTTTCGTTGTGTCAAAGAAGCTAAGCCTCTTTGTAGCTTATTTTTTCGGGTTAAATTTCCCATTAAATGATACACAAAAGTATTTGATTTTTGATTTTCGACTCCGTTGCCGGAAGCTCATATACGAAAATATCACATAGGAGAGAAGATAGTTGAGATCTTTGTAGTAGACCTTTTATTCTTCTTACCTATTCTTTAGAAAGGAAGTGATAGTTTCGCTCCAGTTTCCCTCCATGTTGGCTTTGAGCATCTTTACTCTCATCATCATGCTCCTCAATAACATAACAATTTTTCATCCAGTCCTGAGGTATTCTCTAGTGAAATAATCTTTTCATAAAGTGATAACGGTATTACGTTGGAATTATTTTCAGAGACACAATTGTTATTCTTATTTTTCTTATTAAAACCTAATGAGTGTTGATTTATTATTGCTTTATTTTGGTTTTTTACAACAAACTAATTTTGGAAATATTCCATATTTCAATTTCAATTCATTTAATATAGATTCCTTCTTTTATATTTTCAACTATTCGTTTGTAGAGGGTACTGCACAATTTAAACATTTTTATTAAAACATATATGTATATTGAATGAACTCATTCAAGATGAAAGGAGTGTGCTAAAACTAAAAATTTTTGTACCAGATTTCGTCTGATGATTTTAAATGCTTACAATATTACCAGGTTAATTTCTTTTTACTTATATTCGCATTATAAGTGCGAATATAAGTATCCATCATAAAATAAATTCTACCAGACTCCTTTCATACCGAATAAAGGTGCAATTCCTATATGAACGACAGACTGCAAACCACAATCGCAAACAGCAGGCGACACTACTGGTATATACCGATGTTCCCAAGCCAAAACGGCATAAACGCCAAAATGATCAGTTTTTGTGTGTGAAGTGCCACGCGCTTGGAATTAATTTTACAGAAATACATGTCAACCAGTAATGTCACATGTGATTTGCGGTTTGCTGTCTGTTATTGTCGTCCGTTTCGGAATTGTACTTTTAGTTATATTCATCCTTAACTACTTGCAATATTTTTCCGTTATTTACACGTTCGAATTGTAGAATATCCTATTATTTTTAGTTTAATACTCAGGTGAGGTTCAGCTACATTTAGGGCATGCAATCCCATCAAATAGGATCGGAAATAAAGATCAGATCCTTAAAAATTATTTGTTCTTTACGGGGGAAGTCGAGGTATCGAAAATCTTTCGTGCTAATTATCAAATGCTATTTTATCGCATACTTTATTTTTCATTTTACTGTTTATACTTTATATAAAACTCACAAGTTGTCTTGACCTGTATATGCAAAATATTCGAAGTAAGCAAAGTACAACTTCTTAACTAAATTTCAACAATTAAAAATGGAGCATAAAAAACTTTCACTATTAATACTTTCGAGTAGCAGTGATATTGCATTTTGACATTTTCGTCAGATTGCACACCACAATCGCAACCGCAGATAACACTTCTGATTCACATCATATTTCTATGGAATTAATTCCGCACCAATCTCTTCCCTTCATCATCCCCCTCCATCAACAAATATTTTGGCAGTTCCTCTGTACCTCATCTACTATTCCTTTCATTGTTTCTCCCTTCCTGTATCTGTGACCTTCTTTCCTGCCTCTATATATCCATGTCCCTATCTCTCAGTTCTCTCCACATTTCACCTCTTTCCGCTCTTCTGTTTTCGATCCCAATTAGTGAGTATCCCACTCTTCTATAATATTCTACCCTGTTTCTTTCCCCATAGATCAGCCTGATCTCCTTAATCTCCCTTCAGCACTCTCCCAGGATCCTGCAATGCGGTCTTGCTTCTATCATTTCCTCATACTTCACTGCTCTTCTTCCCGCCTCCACCCTTACTGCATCCACCTTAACCTCCTCCCTCAGGAGTCCCCCTTGCCAACCCTAGTACCCATCTCTAATATCGTGTTTGTATATCCTCCAGCAAACCTTGTTCTCTCCATCCCCATACTTCTGCGCCGTACATCATTATGCTCCTTACCAAGCCATCAAACATAACCTTTCTTTTTCCCACGTCACTCCCAAAAGTTCTTTCCCCCCATCCCCAAACCTGTCCCATCACCCTGTTCGCTCTTTTTGCTATCGCCTTCATGTGCGCCCCGACCTTATTACTTTCCGCGAAACCATATCCCAGGTATGGCTGGTATGGTATATCTTTCACTTGCTCTATCTCTCTTCCCTGCCACCTCCATTCCTCCTTCTTTCTTCTCCCCGCTTTGCAGAACTTCATTGTCTTTGTTTTCCTTACTCCTTCGCCTTAAAATATCTTTCCAGGGACCTCATCATCTCCTTCATCAATCTACCCTAATGTATTTTCCACCATGTTCCATTATCTTTCTGTTCCTTCTTCCCCTCGATCCCTTTATGCACACTTCTAGAGGCTGGTGATCCGACTCTACCAACGCCCCAACCCTAAATGTTTCTATCCTCTCCCACATTCCTTGGTCCACTACCACATAGTCTATCACGGACGCCCCCCTTGCAACCGTATAGGTATATTCTGCTTCATCTGCTTCCTCCATATTCCCATTCAGTATCTCCCATCCCCTCTTCTCTACCCACTTCAGCATCTCCCTTCCGTCTCCATTCAGAATCTTATCCTTGGACCGTCGCCCCTCTCCCTCGTCCCATTGTCTCTTTCATTGCCTTGCTATATACTGTGACTATCTGCACCTTCTCTCCCTCTAGCTTGATTTGCCTTTATACTATTCCCTTCTGCCTCCATCTCCCCTCCGTAATTCCCCTCGCTATTCCTGTTATAATACCCCCGCACGCTCTTCCTCTCTTACTTCTCCTCTCTGCAAACACACAATCTCATCTATGCCCTTCTGGCTTCTGGCAACTTTCCCTCAATTTTTGCCCACCTTCCTTCATCAACCCAGGTCTCCACCATACAAATCACCTCAAATCCCTTCAAATATTCCCAGAACTGCCCTCCCTTATTCGTAATCCCCACTACATTCCAGAACACCATTTTCAACCAATCGCTCTTCTCTGGCCTCCCTCATCTAGTTTTTTGATAAAGTTCCTTTCTGCCCTCTCCTCATGTCCTCATATTTAATACTTCTCTTCGCCAAGTCCGCCGCTATCTGGTATTCCCTACAGTTCTATCAGGCTTGCAGTTTGCAATCTCTCTCTCCTTATTCCCACAGTTCTTAAACTCATTGTTGTTAATAGAAGGTTTCTTATTTCAGACTCTTATTGTTCCATCGGGCGAATTGACTCTCAGTAAGCACGTTCTTTCTTATGGGTTAAAAGTCCCAGTTCCTTTGGATCTGTCTGCTTAACACAGAGTAGCATGGTATAAGCACAGAATAACCAGAAGTGACAGTGCCGGTATCTCGCCAATTCTGACGCCATATTATAGCGAGTTGCCAAGGTATGCTGCTATTGGTGGTAAAAATTTGGCGGCCAGTCTCAGTTTTATTCTGTGCCTTTGGTAACTCGTGATAAGATGGCAGATTTTAAATCGAGGTCACAAAACGTGGTGCCGCCAATATTAAACGAGTGTCATTTCTGATTATTCTATGGTATAAGCGTTAATCAGTTATCTCCGATTCTATCACCCAGACATCAGCTTTCCTGTATTGCCGTTACTGCCATCTTAAATTTTTTTATTTCATTCAGCAAGGAGTGCTGTGTCCGGTTTGTTTAGTATTCTTGCATTCCATATACCAGCTCATAATCCTCTTTTGTTTGCTCTCCGTTGCTAATGGTCTCGTACAGGTTGTTCTGGTTTCTGGGGCTTCCCCAGCTGGAAGTAAGTGTCGGAATTGAATAGGAGAGGATAGGAGGAAGCCTCAAACATTGATTGATTAGTTTTTTTATACGAATAAATTAAAATTTGGGAGATATTAACCGCGAGCAACTTTTAGATTAAAAAAATAGCTTTCTTACCATCTTAATAATTTCTCGATGCTGCTTCGATGAAAATAGAAAATAGAAACGAAGAAAAATAAAAATCGAATCTCGGACCGTTTTTAATAAGATGAGGGAGATTACATTTGACGTACACTGTAGTTTATTAATGTAACGTAGGCATCAACAAGCTAAACATTTTTGCTTCTCTTAAAGAAGGCTTAACTTCCTTTGTTGCTGAAAGGAATATTATGCGTTACATAAAGTCTTTGTCCTTTGACTTTCTTTGCAGTCATCTTTGTTACTATTATACCAGCAGATTCAGAACCGTATTGGAGGTATTTTCCTACACCCACAACACCATATTTTGGAATCTTAACAATTTTTGTACTCAATTTTCTGATTTTGATGTCACCACCTCGAAATTTATGTTATAAAAGTAATTTATATTTTAGGCAATTTGTACTCTTGGTATAACCTTTAACGACTTTAACTTGGATTGTAACGTGCGTAATTTAATTATTAATGGAACAACACATTGTGGATATAAATCTGGAGAAGAAAGTAAAATTAAAATATCCTTATTTATACTTATATTTTATTTTCATTATTTATTTTTAGTTTTATTAAGTTTTACTAGTAACAATGATGAAATCGAAATATTGTATCAAGGAAATAACGTGGGAGGTAGAAATAGGATATTAAGTCTGGATGTTATACAAAAGGACTTTGATTGTTCGCCAGGTATTTTAAATGTAAAATAATATAATCACTTTTATAAAAATTTTTTTTTAGATTTGGAAGTACCACCTCCTTCATAATTTTAATTTAATTATTTTTTATTTACTTTTTATTATTACTTTTTGTGTATTTACGCACGTTTTTAAATATCAAATATAGAAATAGTGTTTTGTAGGATTAATCCACATTTTCATTGTCTACCTAGCAACACGTAATAATTAAATCTGAAAAAAATGTAATTCAATAAAAATTCGTTAACGAAATTAAGAATTTATTTATATGCTTTTCATAATGCTTTTATTCCATTAACGATTAAATATACGTATATTAAATTTAATTTATTACATTGTTATTAATTTATTTTTTTATTCACACGGAAGATTCCAAAAAATTTAAACATTACATTTAATAATAATACTGATTCGGTTATTTCTCCGTTGATATTAATTTTTGTGTGATATTTCAGTCAAATACAATTATCTTGTGGGGTTGTCTTATTTCCCTAGAAACCGGATGTTTGTGAATATTGCTGAAGCAGGTCTCTTTCTATTACAAAAGTTGATCGTTCTTCCTTTGTTGCCTTGTTTCGCCTCGTGAAGTGCCACCAATAAACGAAATACGTCATCCTTACTAGGTTGACATAAATATCTGTTTTCAGCTTCATATCTAAATAAAATAAATTTATTTAAAAAAAAATTTATTAATAATAAGTTTTAGATTGAAAGTTTCATTTACGCTTGTCTGGAATTTTGTCTTTTCCATGGATATTTTCTGTAATATCTCGATCTTTTAAAAGGAACGGGTCTTGCAACTTCCTCTCGATTATCATCGTTTATTTCTTTTAAAATTTCTTGCATTTCCGGCAAATTTTCGTTATAATCCGAGTAATTGTCGTCATAATCTTCCACGTAAAGTAGCGGCAATCCAGTTCTTGGCCAAGGATTTGCTAAGATATACACTAAATATTTCCCCAGTTCATTTAAATTTTCATTTTCACCTTGATGTAACAATTCTATTAAAAAAGAAAATAATTGAGATTAAGAAAGGTAATCATTAAGAAAGGGATTTTTTATTGAATCAATTGGAACTTTTAGGAACAAATTTAATAAGTTGACTCGACTAAAAGGATTCTTAAACGCTTTTAAGGTTCGATTCTTCGCCTTAGCAATGGTAGATTACGTTTACTCTGTAAACTACATTGCATTTCAGTCCATTTTACCTTTTGAATGGACAAATATTGTCGCCCGTGTGTAGATATCAGCACATTGTGTGGTTTGCGTGACACCATGATAAACTTTATCGTCTTTTATGTACAAAATGAATGAAATAATATTGTAATATCGTTTCAAAACAAGGAAATAATTATGTTTTGGCGGAGTTTTAATTAAAGAAGATTGTGGTTGAAGTAATTATATAAACACTATATTTACCAGTATTTTCCAAGTTGCTGTTTTCATCGGGGATTTGTTCTGGAAATGTTTTTAACGGCGTGCAGAATGAAATTGATGTACAATGCAAAAATGTAATTGTAAACATCATCACCACCAACCACCCCATGGTTTATTCGTTCGTTTTGTTGTCTGTAAATAACAGAATAAATTAGAATGTAAAACTCATTTCTGATCGCGGAAAACCCTGAACTCTGAAAAAGCCGTTCATCAACAAATCCTTGTTTACGCGCTTAATATGGAAATTTTAAAAGGAAAGATAATGTAATTTGAAAATGAAAATTGCATGCGATCAATTCAACTTAAATTACTTGGAGCTTCGTTACTTGGAAACCCTCAAATCGGAAACTAAATACTTAAAGCTTTATTTTAGCTCAATAATATCTAATGATTGCATAAAGCTAAGTTGGGTTGGTTATGTAAGATTTAATTTAATTTTCAGGAAGTAAATTGAAACCTTATTTTATTTTGATTTACATCATTAATACATCGTAAATCATCATTAATGATTGAAGTTTCCCCAAAGTTGAACTCCCCTTTCATCCAATAAACTAATTTTATCTACTTGTAATTTAATTATAATCATCTATAGTGCAAAAATAAATTTAAAGAGAGAAAGGGGAAAATATAAAAAAAAGTTTACGAACTTAAAACATGAAAATAACGTTAACTCGAAGCTTTTAGAGTGAATAATACGTTTAAACACAAAGAACTAATTTACTTTTATTATATCACCTACATTATAAAAATGAATTAAAAACTTTATTTTTAAAAAAACTTAAAAGAAACGAATAATTAGTTTCAATATCAAAAATTACCTTAAAATCCTCCAAATAAAATAACCTTGAATCAACAAGTTGGTACTTTTCTCCCAAAAAACTCCACGTATTTTCCAATTAAAAGAAAAAAAACTTCACAAAAACACGTCGACTATGTTCTTCTGCGGACGCGATTCTGATGTCACCACGCTGAATGAAAACGGGCCCTTTATACCCCCTTTTAGAAGTCTCTCGATGGTGGTGATGCGCGGTAGCTTAACCAGAGAACGCCGATGTAACGTCACCAATATAGTAAAGGAGAATTGTTTCGGAAAAAGCGTGGGTGACTAAGACCATGAGATGAAAACGTTGAAATATAAATTAAACCAACCCCAAAGTATCTCTTCCTTTAATCATTTCCTATGCGTTGGAATGACCGACTTTTACGATTATTTCGTCGTTTTTCCTGGTAATTTTCGTTTTTTTGAAGTGTTTCCTTTTTAAGAATGGCCATAAAATGGTATCAGCCCGGCCAATTGGAAAAGCGGTGGAAATGTGTCGTAAATTTATAATGATTTACGATGTTTGTAGTTGTAGGTGTTTGAGAGGAATATATAAAATAAGTCGATAAAATATGGCGATTTAAGTAATTGGGAAATAAAAAAAAATAAATTTACACTTTAATCTTTGGAACTCAATTAAAGTTATAAGAAACTGAGAAAAGTTGAAATTAAGTTTTCAATATTACACTTACTTCCGTGTATACTCAATTTTATAAAAAGGTACCAAGAATAAAGGAATAACCATGTTTCTGTTCCAATTTTTCTTTTTAATTAAAAACTTTTTTACTCAAAAACTTAAATCAACCTTACTAATCATAAATGTAACTGGATTATGAATTTGCAGGCTTTATTAAGTCTTATAATTTTGTAATAATAATGTTATATGGTATATTTTTCATGGTATTTGCGACAATGAAAATTAAACCTCGAAGGTAAATTTCAAAATATTTTATGTGTGCTGTAAAAGATATACAGGGTGTTCATTTCAAAACTTTCCACCTCAATTTCTGTAAATCCGGAAGTTTAAAAAGAAAATCGCTGAAATAGGTAAAGAATAAAACCAAGGGGGACAAGTTTTTATGCAAAAATTGACTCACTCTCTTCAACCCCCCGCCGCCAGAAACCAACCCCTTAAAAATCTTAAATGGAAAGGGGTGTCAAGTGATACCTCATTTTAAAGGTCTTTTAAGGTACTACATGTTAGTATTTATTTTTTTTAAATTGATCGATTCGTTTTCGAAATTTTTGCGAAAATCTTTGTTTTGTATTTCCCGCTTTAATTAATATTAAAAACTTTAATCACCTTCTTAAAAGCAAGAATAAGTAATCTTTTATTATTAATTTATAAAATTAAATTACCATGTTCGTTTTTACAACGACCATTAAACCTTTATTATTTCGGAGCAATCGGAAATATTTAAGAAAACTAAACACGTATAATTATGAATTAAACTAAATTTTATTGAAAGTATTTTACATTAAACCTGTATGAAAATTACTCTTGACTCGAATGGCCAAAAAAAGGAAAAAAAGAGACGAAATTTTTCTCTTTCTATAAACGAGTTATAGGCAGGCTCACAGTGCGAGAAAAGAATAAAATAAAAGTGCAATTCTAAACATAAGTTTATTTGGTTATTACTTAAACAACTTTGTGTTATCCACTTAACAAAGTTATTTAAATAAAACAGCAATAATGGTTTACAGTTTGCAGGAAAGGATTGAAATTGTATTAATGTATGGATCCCAAAATGAATGTGCTCGACGAACTGCCGCAGTTTTTAATGAAAGGCATCCAGATCATGAAGAAATTCACTCAGACTGGGTCCGTTGCCAACATAAAACATAATGAGTCGAGAGTTTTGAATGAAACCGCTCAACTGGAAGTGTTGGGTCATTTCGGTATCAACCCCAATACTTCATTGCGTCAGGTATCTCGTGCAACTGGTATATCCTTGGGTTCTGTTCATAAAGTTGTAAAACTTCACAAATTCCATCCTTATAAATTGAAAATACATCAAGAGCTAACTGAAGACGATTTTGACAGGAGAATACAGTTTTGTGAAGAAGTGACCACTATTATTAATAATAACAACGTTTTTGTGAAAAATATCTGCTTTAGTGATGAATGCACTTTTTCTTTAAATGGATTTGTAAATAAACATAACTGCAGATATTGGAGTAATGAAAACCCTCATCTGACTGTAGAAGGGCATACACAATATCCTGAAAAAGTTAATGTATGGGCCGGCATTTTGGGAGACCAAGTGATTGGTCCAGTGTTTATCGATGGAAATTTAAACGGCGAAGTGTACTTGGATATGTTAGAAAATACTATCAATCCACTAATTACGGAAGCTCTCGAGAATCAGTTGGATAGAGAAGAAAATGCCTTACTTGATGAGAATGAATTACATTTTCAACAAGACGGAGCTCCTCCTCACTATGTTCTCCCAGTACGACAGTGGTTAGATAATACGTTTCCAAACAGATGGATAGGACGAAGAGGTCCTATAGAATGGCCAGCCAGATCACCAGATTTGACGCCATTAGACTTTTTTTTATGGGGTCATTTAAAGTCTGTTGTATTTACCCCTCAACCTCAAAATTTAGAAGAACTTCGTCAGAGAATTACTGCAGCTTGCCGTGGAATTCAAAGGGAAGTTTTTGAAAATGTGCGTCGTAGTTTTGAACAACGGTTGTGCCATTGTTTAGCTAATAACGGACAACACTTTGAACAATTATTAAGTTGATTTTCTCTGCAAAAAGTTTTTGTACATATACATAAGAAAAATGAAACAGAAATCGTTTTTTCTAAATATCTCTGACAGACGCCAGGCAAGCTAGCCAACGTAGGTATATCATTGTCAAAATAATCTAAATATCAATGATTTCGGATTGCTCCGAAATAATAAAGGTTTAATGGTCGTTGTAAAAACGAACATGGTAATGTAATTTTATAAATTAATAATAAAAGATTACGTATTCTTGCTTTTAAGAAGATGATTAAAGTTTTTAATATTAATTAAAGCGGGAAATACAAAACAAAGATTTTCGCAAAAATTTCGAAAACGAATCGATCAATTTAAAAAAAAAAAATACTAACATGTAGTACCTTAAAAGACCTTTAAAATGAGGTATCACTTGACACGCCTTTCCATTTAAGATTTTTAAGGGGTTGGTTTCTGGCGGCGAGGGGTTGAAGTGAGTGAGTCAATTTTTGCATAAAAAGTTGTCCCCCTTGGTTTCATTCTTTACCTATTTCAGCGATTTTCTTTTTAAACTTCCGGATTTACAGAAATTGAGGTGGAAAGTTTTGAAATGAACACCCTGTATAGATACCAAAGAGACGAGAAGTCTGAAAAGTCCATATATTTAAATTTATCGTGAATTGTTACCTATTCTAATAGCTATACACTACAATTCAAATAATCATAAATTTTTGATTTTTGACATTCAGCGATGTGCTTTGGTCGCGTGTAGTCGTCTGACGAGTTTTGCTGTGGTTATATATTCATTTGGGCTTAATTATTAATAATGTCCTCCTCAAGACCTAATACCCGACAAATTAATAATGAAGATGAGAAACTAATTCAAAGAGTGGTTGAGAAAGTGCTCGGTAATCAAAGTTTTTTGGATAAGTTGCTAAATAACCTCTCGGATCACATCGAAAAATTAGTCGAAAACCGGTTGAAAAGTGCAATGGAACAAGTTGATGAACGTATTCGAGGTATCGAGTCTGTCGACGAAAACCGCTTTAAAAGTACAATGGAAAAGGTTGACGAACGTATTCGAGGTATTGAGTCTATTCTAGAAACACAGGAACAATATTCTCGAAGAAACAATTTACGTGTTTTTGGTATCCCTGAAAAAGTAAATGAAAAGGTAGATAAAGTTCTTATTGAATTCTGTAAAAAGAAGTTAAAAGTTAATCTTGTACCCGGAGATATTGATTGCTGTCATCGGCTAGGGGCGTTAAAGGCTAGTGAGGGATCAAAGGCTAGTGATAGGCCCATCATAGTTAAATTTTGCCGCCGTACAGTAAGGAATGAAGTGTATAGTGCGAAGAGTAAGCTCAAGAATTCAAAAATCATAATTCGTGAGGATCTTACTAAATATCGAGTTGATATAGTAAAAAAACTTTGCGAGCGGTATGGTAATAAGAATGTGTTTACTTTTAATTGTAATGTTTATTATAAGAATAATGGGGATGTACATAAAATTCTGAATATTTTTGAGTTTAAGGGTCATAAATTTTGAATTTTAATTTTGGAACCCGCAAATTTCGTCAATCATGTTTTTCTTTTTTTTTTTTCTTCTTTACGAAATACTTGTTTTTTTTTTATTGTGAACTCTATATATTTTTTTTTGTTGTTTTTTCATTTATTACTGCTGTGGCTCCGCCGCTGTTTCATTATTTTGATATTTGTTAATATTTTTCTTGTTTATGTCTGCAAATTTCAGAGTTGCACATATAAATGTAAGGTCGCTGCTCTCTAAATTGGTAGACATTGAGGTTCTTTTGGCTCGTCATCAGATAGATGTTCTGGGTGTCTCGAAGACGTGGTTAAGTGCCGATGTCGATGATAGTTTTATACTTCTCAATAATTATAACGTGGTAAGACGTGATCGTTGCGGTCGAGGCGGGGGTGTTTGCTTCTACATTCATGAATCACTTAAGTTTACTCTTGTTGACTCATCACCGGATATTGAACAGTTGTGGATATCGGTCGCCAAAGCAAGAAATTTAACGGTTCTTGGAGTTGTATACAGACCCCCTAAGGATAGCCTTTCATCTTTTCTTGATGCATTTGAAGATTCTCTGAATGGCGCAATGATGTTGAGTGACCGGGTGGTTTGTTGTGGTGATTTTAACGTCGACATGTTGAAGTGTACTAACAGAGACTCAGTTTTTTTGAGTTCTTTTCTTGAGTCTGTGGGCGCAAGTGAGTTAATAAATGTCCCAACACGAGTAATCCCTGCTTCTGCCACTCTTATTGATTTGTTCATTACGCTTGATGTTTCTATTGTTAAGAGATCCGGTGTGGAGTCGTGTGATTTGGCTGATCATGATTTGATTTTTTGTGATCTTGTTCTTGGTAGTGAGGGTACTAAACCAAGAGTAATATACAAACGTGATATTAGAAA